ACCAACTGGAAAAGTACCACCATTCAAAAGCTTTCTGATGCGGGTCTTGAAACAAAGCAGAGAAATTATGACCGTTAGTGGCCACAGGTGCTAAAGCTCTCTCCAGAGCTACTGGAAGCCCAATCTCGGGGACCGGAGAAAGTGGAGCAATATTCTCGCCACGCCAAACAACAGCCTAGAACAACCTCAACCTATACAAGTGACCACGTAAGCCATGCTACTGATGCTGGACAGTTTTTCAGTGGATGCACAATAAACAGCAACATACACATTCATGTAAATAAACAGCCAAATAATGGATCAACGCTCTCTGTCTAATATGTTCGCTAGCTGTTAGTGTTGTTGCATAGCAACAATCTCGCATTATGTTTCGTGCAGAAGGCAACGGAGGGACTATTTTATTTTGAACATCATTATTTACTAATAAAAACTATTTAAATTAGAGTGTGTATTTTTCTTTCATATTGCCACACTTGGTAACCGTTTTATAAAAGCAATAGCTCACTTCAGGCCGTGATATATGCTCATTATATCACAGCTAAGGGGCGTGGTTCGGCCCGCCGCGAAGCGGAGGGTCGACAACCCTTCTTAGCTGTGATTAAGTATTGAGATGAACTTTTTTTATTGACCAAATACTTATTTTCCACCATCATTTGCAAATAAATTCTTTAAAAATCAGAAAATGTGACTTTCTGGATTTTTTTTTTCTCATTTTGTCTCTCATAGTTGAGGTATACCTAGGATGAACAAATTACAGGCCTCTCTCATCTTTTTAATTGGGAGAACTTACACAATTGGTGGCTGACTAAATACTTTTTTGCCCCACTGTATATGTCATGTATGTGCCCTTCCTTGCTCACTGAATGGTTTCACTTTGAATGGTGTTAGCTGTAACTCGGCCCTTCTTTGTGTTTATTGTCAGACATTCTACACTTTTTCTGTCTTCACGGTGTTGGAGCAGAACCTCTGTTACACGCGTTCCTTTATGAATGGGTTCTCAAAAGAAGGAAAACTCAAAACACCAGGATAAGGGTTACATTTTTTTTTTTTTAATGGTAAAAGACACAATACATCACCTAATAACCTTATCACCTAATCACGAAGCACTCTGCAACAGCAGCTTCAAAATGCAGAGTACTCCGGGCTCAGGTTCTACCACTGCGTGAGACACGTCTCAGGAACGGCCAGGCAAAACAAGAGCGCCGAACATCAAAAATAAACAACATTTAGACACAGGTGGGGAGGAGTTTTATCGCTTGCTCCTCCCTAGCTATTTGTTATTGGCGAGTTCACTTCTGAGCGAGCTAGCCAGTGAGTTGGCAGTGTCCATTGGTCGGTTTCACTCCTGGGCGGGACCCCAGGCAATGAGTCAGCAGTTTGTCGATTCCATCTGTTGCTTCATCTCTTGTGCGTGTGTGTGTGTGTGTTTCTGTCCCTCTGCCCTCAGGCAGTCCCCCAATCAATGATTTGGAGTCATGACAGAGGACTCTTTGACAGAACGCACACACATTATCCCTATGCAGCCCATCATACAAATGTCACCTGTTTTTCTTTATGAAAGCCATACTTGTAAATATCCAAACGCCATCGTCCCATGACAGTCACAGAATCAGTCAACCAACAGAAGTTAACTGTTCCCATGCCCTAAGGCCTTCCCTGACCTTCTTCTCACCTAAAAGTCAGCTATCTGGAATGAATACATTTAAAAATGAGAACAAAGGACTATGGTCTCGTTTACTGTGTGACCAATTCTCAAGGCCTCTCTTAGGGTCTACAGGAAATGAATCATTAATTTAACAAGACTTTAACTGCATTATATCTGAGGCAAATCTCCCTTTGGGTTAATCAATAATGGTTTTTGCAATTAACAGGGGAAGCCAGAGACTCAAGGCCTCTCCAGATGTCTGGGAACTGCAAGGCAGAGGTCACAGGTCACATGTATTATACCTACCCCCAAATAGCCAAAAAACCCACCCTTTTGATTACACACAAAAGTGGAAGAAAAAGACTATTGCGCTAATCTACTTTCACTAAAAATGGGACATCGTTTCAGGAATATATGAAAAAACCTCTCTAAATTTAAGAGAAAAATGTACTTTGTCCCTTCAAATTTAACACACATGAATATATAAGGTGACATTAAAATGAATATACCAGAAATACGCTGTATCAAACTTTCTGCCTGCCTCAACGGTCAACTTGTATATATTTGACTTTTTAGTTCAGTTTTATTTTCTATTTTAACATGTTAATATTTATGTTTGCTTATTTTTTACTGCATTGTGCAATGCCTTTGTTAAAAATGGCTGCTGTAACGAAAACAATCCAATTTGGGATCAATAAAGTTGATCTTGTATCTTGTATGTTGGTGTCAGCAATGAAGTATATCATCATCTATATTTATATGCAATTAAACGTTCAAACTAATGTGTAATGTATGGAAATACCCTAACCCTTCTCTAAAAGGTATGCTACTGGAGCAGCACAAGGACGCAGTGTTACATCTTCTATCAGATCCACATCTGCTGGAAGAGCAGGTGACCTTCGCACTGAAGACTCTTCAAGAGTATGTGGTGTATTACTTGTGTTGCATTTCAAATCTACAAAATAAAAGATTAAGAAATATTCTAAAGAACGGAATCATTCATGAAATTATCATTTTAAATCAACATTTTAATGTAGAGCAGTCTCTTTGGAAAATCTCAATTGAAGTTTGTAAAGATATGCCAGCCCCAAATATTCATTTCTTAAATGATAGTTCATGTTTGAAATAATATTCCTGACTCCTCCGTCAGGCAGAACATGGAGGAGACGGAGGTCAGTGACTGGTCGGACGCTGAGGACGCAGAGAGGCTGGGGGAGAAGATATTCTCCCTGGTGGAGGGGCTGGACCCTCAGCATGCTCATGACATCACAGGTGACCTGAGGCTCTGTAGGGGCGTCTCCTGTTAGAATCAGGACGCTGTTGTGGTATTCTTATGTGGTCTCAGTACAAAGTGAATTCTTCTATGGGTACCTACGTTTTAATGTATTCAGCTACTGTTAAGGAAATATTAGCTTAGGTACTAGCCTTTGACCGAGTCCACCATTCTGTACCCCCCCTGTCTCTCTGCCCATGGCACAGGCAAGCTGACACAAGATGGTTTACTGGCTAGGGACATCTGGTAGTCCACTTTATCAGATGTCCCTTTGGTATACATTCTTAAGCCGCGGACAAGATTATAGTGCTTAGGCCTGTTTTATATTGATTAATGTTGATTGTGCCCATAGAACTAGTTAAAGTCTCCGACTGGAAGAGAGATCTTCAGAATTGGTCGGGCAGGAGCTGTCCCCTCGTGGTTGCAGCACATGTCAATTCTCCTACCATAATTTTGAATAAACCTCCAGTCTCACATCAAATTCCAGCTCTACCTTGTTCTCGCTGTGTTCCGAGTCCTTGCTCCAGAAGTTTCTATTTCAGCTACTAAAAACAAAAGAAAACCAGAACAATATAAGATGTATTGTAGCACTTATACTGGTGTATCCATTTTGCTAACACAGGATTCTTGCTGTTCTGAGTAAGCATCTCAAGTAGCTTTGGATACAAGTGTCAGCTAAATAAAATGATACATATTTAATGAACATTGTTGTGCTGGTGTGTGTGCAGGTATGCTGCTGGAGATGGAGCCCGCTGCTCTCCTTCAACTGCTCAGCAACCACACCCTGCTGCAGGCAGCTGTTCAGAAAGCTCAAGCAGCCCTGCACCCTCGGAACCAAACTCTCTCCACTTAAACACAAGGGCAGCATTTGAAACACACAATAAGACATTTATAATGATAATATAACGCTGGGAACAGCTTGCACATCACTCCAAGAGATCATGGTAATACAAGTCCCTTTTTTTTATACTGATTGTTGAGCGCATTTTGTGAGTCTAAGTTTGATTGATTTGATTTACTGTAAATAATTGAATAGTTGAGAAAGCACAAATTGATATTGCCCCCTTACTTTCATCAGAATCATTGTTGATTGAATATGTTTACTGTAAAGTAAAAAAAAAGTGCTTATCTAATGTTTGCCAACAGAAATGCTGTGTCAATTGATAGTTTTTGTACTGTACATAATGACGTGGTGAACTGTCTTTGCTAACAGAAATACAGCAGATTATATAAATGGAGGACCAACTTCAACATTGTCACACCGTGTTTAAATTGCATTTGCATGAATTGTATCTAACAGTAGAGATGAAATGATAATCTATTAATCAAACCTGTAATCCCCTCCATCACCATCTGAATTTACAATACACGGAGGAGGAATAGTTTTTGGTGTAACTGGTGATTGAATTTCCACATCACATAAACGTGTTTTAATCTGCCTCCTCCTTTGTGTGTGATTGGCTAAGGGGTGGAACATCTCTAAGCGGTTGACCAATCACAACAGAGCCGGCCAGCTAACCAATCAGAGCAGACTAGGCTCTGGTTTGTAGTACATATGCCGGGCCTGTAAGTGGCACTGCTGCTGCCACAAAATACACCAAAAGCAGCGAAGAAGACCCCGGAGCATGGTTGCCATGGTTGCCCTTCAGTTTATTCTCCGCGGTGGACGGCGTGTTCTCCTGCTGTATATCTCTCCGGTAGTCCACCCACCAGCAGATGAAAAACACTCACCTCTCCGCCTCTTCCAAGGGACGAGGGGACCATGGGGCAGAGTTTCAGTTAACATTTGTTTCCGCCGGTGTCGGTACCATATGTGTTCGGGGTACCATATGTGTTCGGTGCCGCAAAGCTAGCATCGCAGCCACTGCTCCGTTTTCAGAGACTTTGCACACGTTTTTCACAAACATTTTACATTGTTTTTGTTACTTAGTAACAAAAACAATGTAAAATGTTTGTGAAAAACGTGTGCAAAGTCTCTGAAAACGGAGCAGTGGCTGCGATGCTAGCTTTGCGGCACCGAACACATANTTTAAAGCTCAATAAATAACAAAGAAGACCTCTGACCGGTACTTTTCTAATTTTGTACAGAAGATTTCAACTTTAACGGACATGTTGACAGGTGTGAGTACCATATATGTTCGGGGTACCATATGTTCGGGGGCCGTCTCTTACCAATGACGTCACGCATTGTACGCATTGTGATTGGGTGTACGGTAATTTACCCAGGGGTGCTCGGGGGCAAATCACATCTACAGATCATGACGAACCGAATTGAAGTATTCCTATACTCCTAGCGTGTGAAAATGTTTGTGAAAAACATGTAAAAAAAAACATGAAAACGGAGCAATGGCTGTACGCCATTGGCTGGACGGCAACTCAAGAGGACCATCATACACGGTCAAATTCCGAACATTCAAACATAGCCTACACTTCATTCTTTACTTTGTCCGTTATTATATGTAGAAGATATTACTTTTTTCTCCGTCATGTTGTTTCCATAGCAACAACTTCAAACAGGAAGTTGACCTAAATTACATTTAAGACACTGCAACGAACNGTCCCGTGGGTTAAATGCGCGTTCATAATGCAGAAGGAAATAACTCTCAGAATAACGTTATTAGCACATTTTTACAACTTGAGGAACTAATGTTTTTAATAAGGGCTACTAGGTAGTTTATTTAGTTTAAAAAAAATTATCCAACGATTTACAGACCACTCTTTCCCCATGTAAGTCAATGGGAAAAAGTGTTTCCGGGCCTGGCAACCAAACGGAAGTGTAGTACTGCCGTTTGGCCACCATGAATATTTTCATCTGAGTCCGGCGCACTTCCTGGGGGCTTGGGGCAAAGCAGTCAATATGGCCGCTCAAAGCAGCTTGACTTTACAATGTGTGTCCGTCAAGGAAATCTCGGCCGGCAGCCATCATGGTCTGAAATGACCAATGGACATCGAGAAATCACTAAGGACCTACCCACCAAATAAAAAAAAACATAAACCACGTGTCTCCCATCAGTTTACGTCTGTGAGAAGAAAGAGAGAGACAGAAAATGGTTTAAAAAAAAACTTTACAGTCGCCGACTTCGCTAGAGATTTTTTTCGCTAGCAGCAGTAAAGATAGAGCCTCAGAACCTGAAGTCTGAAGAAGAAGAATACAAAGACAACAACAAGGATCCATTTGGACATGGGTAAGTGTAAATATTACAGGCTAGTGTACTGGCAATGTGTTGGGAATACCGCGAAAAGTAACAATAGGTTTATTGATATATTTTTTATCGATAGTCATGAACTTTTTCTTGGGACAAAATGGACTCTCCATTAGCAAACGTTTACTCTGTGTTAACGTTATTTTGGTGTGTAAAAGTGAGATTACATGTGTAGATGATTAAATTAATCATTTATTCGTCCCACAACGGAGACATTTACAGTGGCTATAGACATGTTTTTGCCCCACGATTATTGTATCATACTGTTCTGTACAGATGAGGCTGTCATAGATTTATTTATATGTGTGCCTGTGATTATTTTATCGTACTGTTCTGTACAGATGAGGCTGTCATAGATTTATTTATATGTGTGCCTGTGATTATTTTACCGTCCTGTAGCCTACAGATGAGACTATGTAATCAGATGTAGCCTATGTATATGTGTGTTTGTGATTTTATACTGAATGTAAAGTAACTGGAAATACCTGTTTGTGAGAGAGAGAGAGAGAGAGAGAGAGAGAGAGAGAGAGAGAGACTCCTGTCCAACCTCCCAAACTTTATTTTTATGTGTGCATTGTTATTTGTGCTTGAGCAACATTTTACTTGAACTTTATTTCAATGCAGTAATTATTGTCCTACATTTTAATTTGTTTTACAGAGAGGTTTCACAGCTGCCTAGGCCTAGTGGCCCACAGGCGGCGTTTATCCAGGAGCCAGAACATCCATGTGACGGCCCCCAGGTCAAGATCTACCATGGCTCAAGGGCCTTCACCAGAGCCATCACCACCAAGGACCAGCAGACCAGCATCACTACAGCTGCCTCCACCTCCATCTGCGGCTGCAGCTGTAGTGATGCTGGTCTGCTGGTCCTTGGTGGTGATGGCTCTGGTGAAGGCCCTTGAGCCATGGTAGATCTTGACNATCCTCTGTACAAGTCTTTTGCGTACAATGTAAAACTTGGGCTAATTGAGTAAAGTTCAGTCCTCTCCTGAATCCTAACATCAACTATCTGTTAAAATAACGGCTACGGTGTTATTCGGACGCAAAGCCTCTAATCTGGCGGGTAAGGTATGACACTTCTTAATTCCCCCTCCTCTTCGGTTGATCTTTCTTCTTTGGGGGTTTTGTTATTAACTTTAACTATCGCCTATGCTAAGTAACTTACGATATGTTCATAGTAGCACGACTTGCACACCTGTATATGATTTGCTGCCCCACACACTGCTTCAGTATAACCTTTCGCTTAACTTTCCAAAATCGTCTCCTATACGTCACCCTCTTCCTTCCTTTTTTTATGTTTAATCTTAAATTCCCACTCAACGCCGGGCCAACCTCCTCGACTAGATGACGTAGTATTGGCCAAACTCCGCCATCAAATCCCCTCTCGAGAGGCCGGGCTTACCACTATGGACTACACATATTATGCTGGATTGCTCTTCCCGAACCCGGCGCAACCATCACGCATGAGAGGGTACGTATATAGAACAAAACGAACCCCTCTTTGAGGACTTAAACCGACTAAACGACCCACACGACAACACAATAATAAACACACAAAGAGAAGAAACATAAAGGAGGGACAAAGAGAAGAAGACTAATAAAGAATCACAAACAGTCCTAACAATAAACCAGAAGGAACCATACAGAAAAAAGCGACTCGACGAGGCCCGACACAATATACCCCTGACTAGAGGGCCGGGGGACTTCTGATTACAGCCGTTCCTCATAAGCCGAGGACTAGCAGTGACTCGACGACCGAGGTACACTAACCGAATCTTAACCTCTGTAGACATAACACGATACTACATAAAAATAAAAAAACTTATTATTTAAAGTATCAATAGCAAATTAAGAACACCTAACAGTTCCCCTCAGGAGTTTTTTGGGTTGTGCTTGTACGTGTCGCTAGGTAGGACGTGGTCGTTCGCCAAACACAAACGTCCAAGTCACCCTAAATTGCCTTTTGTTTAATAGCACTCCTTAGTTGCTTTATGTATACATTTTAAAAGAAGACTAAAACCCTAAGCAATAAAGTACATATACTGAGCCTTAGTGTAAACACACACGTAACTTTTACGTTCAGACACCTAGGCGCTTTATATTCACCACTTGGAAAACGCCTAGGACTTAATTGTTCACACCTTAGGAAGACGACACGTAACACATAAGTACTCTGACGAGCTCGGGTAATGAGTCGCTCATACCGAGGACTATCGAGCGCTCGACGACCGACACAATATCCTAGAACTCTGATTACACCGGCCTCATTTACCGAGGCAACTATCGAGCGGACTCGACGACCCGACACAAATATACCGCGAGGACTAGAGGCCGGGAGGACTACTAAACCAACGCCCCTCACTCCGGAGACAAATCTCTTGCTGCTCATCTCTTTTACTCTCTGTAACGTACACTCATGTTGGCACAGACTGCTCTATATTAATGTGGTGGTTAGTCAATAACGCAAGAATGGTCAATTCGCAAACTCCCTAGAAACTAATGGTCATTTCACGCCTATAGTCCACCTAGACATCTCCACTTAACGTCTCCTACGTTACGTATAACGTAAAGTCCTCCTTAAACGAATTCTATAACCGTCTTCGTAAAAAACCAATTCCGCCTTTTAAGGGCCCTATTCTTTATCACCCTGTACCAAGATCTAAGACCCAGAGTACGCGTCTTTACAGTTAGTACTGCACTCATTCCCGTCTTGGAACCTTGCCAAGACCGATGATTTATGTGTGTCGGAGGCGTTAATCTTACCGAAGTCTGGCATCCGACATTACCGACCGGCGGCTTTTCTATTTAGCTTTTCGTTTATGGAGAATACCTAGCTTCCACATTCGTCTGCTCACCACTTAAACGGCTAACTCTTTCCGTATTGTTTCGGTTTGGTTTATCCCGAACGTCGTAACGCAGATCCATACCTCTCTTTTAGGGAATGATTCCAGACTGTCAGTAAAATACGTTTTACCTTTACATTATCCGACAGACGATAGCCCGTGGCCTTAAGACTGACAGGAAAGCCTATACCGAGATTCTTTATTCCAAACTGACGTCCTACTCTCTTCTACGACCACTTCGACCCCGCAGGCCATCGGCAGATTATAATTTAGACTACGCCGCTCGGTCCGACGCTTACATTCGAGGCCCGAACTTACGGCCAGTACGGCACGTTATCG